TCTACTGAACATGCTCACCAGTCTGTGCCTCGGCCCTGCCAGGACCCAGCAGAGAAGGACTTAACCTGCAAAGAAACACAGTTGCCTCCTGTGATGAATCAGGACCAGGGCTTCCCTCTTCAGTGGAGACACAAAGGACTAGTCTGTATCTGCTCTACTCTGAACACCCTTCCCTACGGCACCACTACCTCTCCAACAGCCTCTCTTTCTGTAGCCCACAGACACCATGGTGCCTGAGCACCTGTAGTCCTAGATGAGCAGTACTGGTAGAGGACTACATTTCCCACCATAGGACCCTTCCTGTTGGCCACAGTGGATCGGTGTTAGTGCAGGTAACCCATGCTCATGTTTAAACTAAAATAAAAAAGTTAAATTTCCATTTTATTTGCATTTCCATGAATATTTTTTATGAGCCTGGATACGTAAGAACTGGACCAACGAGACTGTATTCTTTAGGGATTTTAGTTTTCTTTTGTTTTGTTTTTTGCTTTTTCTGTTTGTTTTTTAATGGAGGAAAGAACTTTCAATCAACCAGAGAATAAACTCAAACTTACATAACGTAGTGGCAATCATTCTGCGCTGTCCTCCAAGATCCATTTGTTTCTTCCATTCCACTGTTCTTTTCTGGCATGAAACTACCTCTTACCATGGCACATGGAAGTGCCAATACATGTTGAGTATCCTTCATCTGAAATGCTTTGAACCAGCAGTGTTTCACACCTTGGATTTTTTTTTTTTCACATTTTGGAATGTTTGTATAGAATTTGCTGACTGACCATCCCTTAACCAAAAATCTGAAATTGAAGGGCTCCAAAATTCAAAATCTTGAGATTTTTTTGGATTAGGAATGGATGTTCAACCTAGAGGTTCAACATGGAGGTATTCTCTTGAAGGGTTTTGGCAAAAGATTTTTCTCTGTTGATTTAAAAAAAAACACTACAAAAAAGTATTCATTACCTTTGGACATAGTTGTAGAGTTGGGTCTGTGTGGGTATATATTGCTGGAGGCCCAGCAGCCATCCTGAAACTAGTAGGGCACAATCTGAGAAAAATTCAACCCCTGAGGATATTAGGGCAAAAAACAAACTATGTGAGGGGAAGCTGGATCTTTGATGTCATCCACAGTCACTGATTTAACCTGGGACTGCACATCCTTTCGACATCTTATTAATATGAACCTGTTTATTGTTTTTATCCATTTACTGGAGAAAGTACTGACAGAGAGGTTGTGAGGCAGAGTTGGCCTATATCAGGCCAGCATTACAACAAAGTAGTAACGGAGAAGTCTGTGACCAAGCCAGTGTGTATACAGACGAGAACCGAGCACATACACAGAAGAGGCACAGATGTCACGAACAGGAAGGCATTGGTCAGCCTTGCTTAGTCTCTCAAACTGCTCACCATTTCTAATTCCAATCCAAATCCACAAAATGAATCTCTGGGATTAAATCAGTACTTCTCAAACTTTAACGTGCATGTGAATCATTTGAAGATGGCTTAGTTGGTATAGGATAAAGGATCACATTTGATAGTTTTCAAAGCTACTAAGGGTTACCAAAGCTGTTGCACCATAAACTAGAATCAGTGTAAAAAGGGCTTCTAACAAAATGGATGAAACTAAGATGCCCAGTGAGTCTGTCCAGCTCTCTGAATTTTATTTCCATACAGATAAGAACTAGTATGGAATGTGTATGTAACCAGAATGTAAAATGACTTTAGGCCTGCAAGACCCAAAATACAGACAGATCATGTCTGTTCAGAATCAAAAACTTAACATCCAGCTCCGATTTCTTGGAATGTTTATATAAACTTCTGACCCCTTGAAAGTACACTGTTCATAGGTCACTGATGGCCATAATTATTCTAAAAGATTTATGAAGGCAGTAACTTTTAGGGAAAATTTCTCTCCATAAGAAGGCATTCCCCAAATCATTGTAAGTAACCCCAACACAAATCTGCAAACCTGAAGCAAGCTGTTCTCTGTAATTCATCTTGCAAAAACTAACAACCACAATGACTGCCTTTGGATCAAAAATATTTATATTTTATTTTATATTTCCAAAAAAGTATTTAAAAGTTAGATCCATTCTTCATACCACATCATAAAACATACTGATGAATTACAGTTAACCAAAAGATAAAACATCAAACCACAAACCTATTGAAGACAGGCAAATAGTTATTTGATCTGAGATTAGGAAAGACCTTTTCAGAGCTAAAAGAAAAAAAAAAATCCAAACAGGAAAGACTGGATGGAATTAATTAAACTTTTTTAACATTCTATGCCTCAAAAAACACCACAAGTAGCATTGCACTTAAAAACAAAGTAAGGGAAAGATATGCCACAAGGCGAAGAGCTAGGGAAAGGTCATTAAAATACATAGCACTAAAGTCCTAATAGAACAAAGTACACAGAATATGAACACATGAAGGTGGGACAGGCCCACCCAAGAGGCTCAAGGTAATCTCTAGGGCAAGTAGAAAGTGAGTGTAGAACTATTGTTTGCCCTCCCCTTTGAAAATTCTCTCTTTGGAAGTTATTTCAATCATTTACATATATTAGTAAAATACTTTATATGTGAAATGAAAGGTATATACAGAGAATTTTTTTAGATAGGGAGGGTATAAGATTAAAAGCTTAGAAATGATATAGAAGAGGGCCAGGGATTTAGCTCAGTGGTTCCACCGCCTGCTTTGCAAGCACAAGGACCTGAGTTCGATCCCCAGTACAAAAAAAAAAAAAATTAACAAAGAAAGAAGTGATATAGAAGAATGTATGCTAATAAACTATTTTTTTTAAAGTTTAGTATTCCAACTAAACAAAGAAATACAAAAACAACAGAAAAATGTTTTCCCTGTGAAATTATAAAGCTATTTTTTACTCTTGCTAATTATTAGGATACATTTGATAGAATTACCTTAAATTCTGCTAATGAAAATATAAATGGTTAAATCTTTCTAAAAAGTGATTTTGAAAAAATCTGTCAAAAGGCTTAAAGATGCCAACGTTTTTGGATTAGAGTTGCCAGCTTTTGCAAACTATGAAGCATACTTAGTAAAAATTTTTCATTGCTCATCTAAAGTCAAATTTAATGGGGCTTCTATATTTTATCTAGTAACTCTACCTAAGTTTTATAATTATACTTCTAGGAAATATCTAGAAAAAAGAACAAGTAATCAAAACGTCAGTATAAGAAAAATTGTCACACAAATTAAGGTACACGCATAGAAGATTACTGAGAAACATCCATGGCCATTTTCAATTGTACAGTGAGGAATTAAAAAAAAAAGAAAAAGAAAAAGAAAATTCTGCATTTTGGGTAGATTGGGCTTTTGTTCAGAAAAGTCCTTCAGTCATTTCTCGGTTCTGAGTTGGTAAGATCATACACAGGCTGAAAAGGAGCAAATAAGGTTACGAAGCCTAATGAAAGAGTACCGAGAACAGCAGAAAAGCTTTTTTTTTTGGCTTTTGAGACAAGGTCTCACTTTGTATTTCAGGCTTGCCCTGAACTCACTATCTATCCCAGGCTGGCTTCAAACTCCCAGTGATCCTCTGCCTCTGCCTCCTGAGAGCTGGGATTATAGGCGTGCGCTACCACACCTGGCAGAGAAAGTTTTTATGAGGACTCTTGTGAACACACTGAGTTCACATGGATAGTCCAGAATACTCTCTATTTGGTGGGGGATGGGTGCCGAGGATCAAACTTGGGACCTTGTACTTGTGAGGCAGGCAGCCGAACCACTGAGCTAAATCCCCGGCATACACTCTGTCTATTTTAAAGTTAGAAGATTTAAAACTGATTTAATTCATAGACCAGCTTCCCCTCCACTGTCTAAGGTAACATTCACAGGTTCCAGCCATCAGTATATAGACATCTTCAGGAGCCATTATTCTGTCTACCATACTGGTATAGGTTTATTACACCAAACACCAGGTAGACCTAGCTTACATAATGAAAATATTGAATAACACACATAATCAATATAATGAAGTGTTTAATGTTCAGGAGAAGGCATAGGGGTGCAACTATACTGACAGAGGCCTCTGAAACAGAGAGTAGCCTAGGACATCTGGGACATAGCCTATCTAATCTCATCTGACAGTGCCCTCCAGACAAGGGTGTTTCAGTGTCCTTGGTTTGTGGTCATCAATGTCAACCTTTCTCTCCTAACGTATTTCTCCTGTTCCTGCCTTCCTTCCTCTATGCATACTTTTCAATTTTGAATCAGGTCTGTAGAACTCTAGCATTAGAAGACAGCATTTCAGACTTCATCCTTAAACTAAGCTTAGGTAATAACACTTTCTTCCTCTGGCTCCCAGAATCCTGCATCTGGTCTCAGATAGTTGCCTTCCAGATGGCCTTCTCAGTAGGCTAGCTCTTCATTTTACTCATTTATAGATACTACTAGTCTCTTAAAGTTAAACCAGTGGTCTTCATAAGCAAAAAGCTGGGTAATCAAAGGTATAATAGATATACAGCTTGTTACCCATCTGCTTCCACTGCAGATGAGCAAGTCTGCATGCCTAATCTAGAGAGTAGGTAGAGGAGAATTAGCTAATCTGTACTCTACTCTAGGGACAGGAAGAGGTTCTAGGGCAAGAAGTAGGGACAGAAGTAAAGTAAGAGTAATAGGCTCTGGATTGTGTTACGAATAAAAAGGTAACGGGATCCAGTTAAGTGTAAGAAACACCAGTCAAGGATTATAACTCACATTTAATCCTGAGGTTGGGAGATCTTCCATATATACCCTTTTCTGGCCCTGGATTTCCTCTTCTCACAGGTAGGTAGTATAATTTAAGCTAGTATAATTTTGCACTACTGAGCTTTGCACTACTGCTAGGAATGACCACCCAGCAGGAGTTACTCATAGCTGGGTGGGAAACAAGAAAGGCTGGAGAGCATAGGATGGGTCAATAGCCCTTGCCAGTGGTGGCATTCCATAGGCTGCATGATGATGTTTCTCAGTGGTTACCCAATCCAGCCATGGGCCAAACTCACCAAGTTGTCTTCAAACCATTCCTTTATGTAGGTAGCTGTTGGGCCAGGGACCTGACTCAGAAGAGCTTCTCTCTCCTGAGAAAGATCCAGCATTTCCAGGGCCAGTCTCAAGTCCTCGATGAGATGGAGCACTGGAAAGGGGTTCTTGTGGGAGGCTGGAGAAGACAGTCCAGGCTCACAGATACCATCATTAGTATCTGTACCCGTTTTAGTGCCTAAAATAAGAGAGAGAGTGAGAAACCTCAGTAAGAAAGGTAGAGATACCATGATCATTTAACAAGTCAAGAGCAAAGGCAGTAAAAGAAGAGAGGAAAGGGCTTGAGAAGCCTAGAAGCTTATGTATGCCTTGCTAAAATCATTCACAATGTAAATTTTGAAGATCATCTACTGTGATCTGCGCTGGACATGGTAGAAAAAGGCATAACAGAGGTGTGTGATAGCCCACTGAGGCTGATGCGTGATGATTGCATACTTAGACGAATGGAAGAACACAGAAAGTCTTCACCAGGGACAAAAACCTCCTAGTTAAAATACTGAGAACCCATTCTTCAGATTTTAGGTGGATTCAGTTGTTTTCCTTTAAACCAATGTGGTAGATTACACAGATGGCCACTAAAAATTGTTTCCTTTCCTGTATAGGCATTACCCTCCCCTCATCAAGAGCTAGATCTTAACCTGGGTGTTCGTAATACTAGAATTCAGTGGATGTGATTGTGCCATTGCTGGCCTGGGCCATTAAAGGTCTAACAGCTTCTACTCTTTTTCTCTGACCTAAACCCATCACAAAACAAAACCCAGTTAAAACCCTGCTAGAAAGTCAGCCCCAACTGTCCCAGCCGTCCCAGCCTCAGAGACAGACATGAGCAAGAGGACATTTGGGATGCTCCAGCACAAAAGAACCACCTAGATGATGCCATATGGGCCATCCCTGCTGAGAACTACCAAAGTCACAGAATTATAAAGAAACAGATGGTAGTGGTTGAATTAAGCCACTATGTTTGGATTAATCTATTTCATAACAATAGACAATAACTACTATATTCATGTTTGTTTTTTGTTTTTTGAGACAGGGTCTCACAATGTAGTTGAGACTGACCTGGAACTCACTATGTAGCCCAGGCTGGTCTCGAACTCACAGTGATCCTCCTGCCTCAGCCTCCTGATTACAGGCATGCGCCACCATGCCTGGCCGACACATATACTTTAATGACAAGATAAAAAGAATAAGTGCCTGGATATCCTCAGAGATCTGGGATACTGAGTCAGTTTTTTTCTAACTTGATGTACCCCAAATAAGACTGTTTTTGCCTTTCTAACCCCCATCATTTAACAACAACAAAACATGTTCTTTCCTTAAGTACTACTATATATATATTTTAAGCCAAAATCAGGGTAACACAGTCTTAACAAAGGATTTCTGTATTTCTTTTAATAATAAGAAACACTTTAGAAAATACAGTTTAGATGGTGGAATTACTAAGGCATTTGGATTGCTTTCAAGGCCAATAGGATAAAATGGTTAAAATCATGACTTTTGGAAAATGTGAGCTGTAGGGTATCATGTTCATGGATACACTGCAGGCCTGACATCTAATTTCTAGTCCCTTTTCTCTCCCAGCAACCGAATTTCTACTAGCAAGGCAGTTTGGGAACAAGAGATCCACAGTGAAGCAAACAATTACCATGATATTTGATTGCCAGTTTGATTTCTGAAGCGTATGATAGAGGGAATCATGGATCACAATCTACAAACAAGTCAGACACTCCAGAAAGTTAGGAAATCCTGTTATCTACACTCAGGTTATGTGCTCAGCACATTCTGAGTCCTGCCATTCCAAGAGTAGAAAAGAACTGCTAAACCTCAGAAGAGAAAAATGAACAGAAGTGAAGACATCCAATCTTCAAACAACTGCTAAGTTATCCCTCTTCGTTCTGAACACATTCTAATTTCAAACATATATTCATACAGTTATAAAAGTTGAATAAGTCAAGTTGGGGTGGGATAGTGGAAAAACAGGTTTTCATTAACTTTATATCTATGTGACACTATGTGTCATCTTGTGTAAGTTGTTTCCTTTCTCTGGGACCTTCCTTGCCCAAAATCTTTGGGATTCTTTCCTACTATTCAAACAATATATACATATACAGGTACATATATATATATATATATGCTTGGGTATCTTCTACTTTTACAGATGCATGTTTATATGCATAAAAGACCAATTTCCTTTTTTGCAATTTATCTTACTACTTTATCAAAATCAACAGTGAATAAATACTGAAGGAAGTGGGAAGGAAAAACAAAGGGATAATTTGTCCGTAAGCTAGTTGTAATGGCAATGACAACATGCCTTGGATGATGAAATCCACAAGACTTTAAATCCAAGGATCAGATATGGTTATAAGATAGAAAGCTAAGAGCAGGAGAAACTTTCTAATGCTACAAGTGGGCTTGAGGATATAAATGACAAGTGGAAGACATCTACACACGTGAGATATAATGATTCGAAATTTCCTCTCCTAGAAGAAAAGTATGGCAATGGTATCCAGGTGGCCTCCTATGATCCATTCCTCTGAACACTCATACTTGTCCCACATTATATCAAGATTGCTCCAGGGCTGGGGATTTAATTCAGGGATTCCACCGCCTTTCTCTTAAATACTAAGTCCTGAGTTCAAACCTCAGTACAAAACAAGATTGTTCCAAATGACCAGTACAGTATGGCAGAAAGGAAGAAATACCATTTCAAAAGCTAATTTATAAAAGATTCTGTGACTTCTGCCTGCTCCTTCTCTCAGATCACTTACTCTGGATGAAGCCAACTTCTATGTTATAAGGATACTCAATCATCCCTATGGAAAAGTCCATTTACTAAGGGCTATGACCACTTGCTTTTTTTTTAAATTAAATAAAATTTTATTTAAGGAATTTCACAGGTAATTCCTTCAATACTCATCATGGTCATTTTAATGAAGTTCTCTGTTTTCAAAATAGTCCCCCCCCCTTTTTAAGAACGGATGCTGAATTCAGTCATCCTATCTGCCTTGCCACAATTCTTTTATCTCCACTTGAACTATGGACAAATAATGATAGTTGCAAAACTCCTGAGAACTTAGATCCAAATTTCTTCCAGCAATTTAACACTTTAGGAGCACTTAGGGTAGATGGATCTGTCTTCCTCTGATACTCTAAGCTACTCACAGTAGTAGTACAGATCTCTAGGATATGAGAGTATGTAAAGTTAAAGGAAAAATTATTAGGCCTTTTGTATTTCTTGCTGTCTTATACTGCCTTATCAAAGGCCTAAGAAATTGACCTGTGAGCAAAGCAGAATGACAGTGTGACTCTATGAGACATTTCCAACAATGTGCAGCCACAGGAGAAGCCCCCTGGGAAAGACCTCAAGAATTATGGCCACTTGTTAACAGCCATCAGTCTTGAGAGTGAACAGTTCTGATACGAGTCCCGCAGCCCCAGCTGAATATCCATATGACTGAAGTCTTGGCCAATGTCTTAACTGCAACCTCATGAAAACCATGAGGCAGAGCCACCCAATAGGTCATGTCTAAATTCCTGGCCCACAGAAATTGACAAAGAAGAAATGTTTGTTATTTTAAGATGCTATGTTTTAGGGAGGTTTCTTTCTTTTTTTTTTAGTACCGGGGATCATGTTCTGGACCTTATGCTTGTGAGGCAGGCAGTGGAACCACTGAGTTAAATCCCAGGACATATTTAAAGTAATTTCTTACATGGTAAAATAACCACCATACATAGCTGAAAACGTTCTGAAAAGTATAATCAAGGAGAATCTGCCCATGCAGTACTAAGACATGTTACTAAAATTATTCTTACAGAAAAGTAAAGTCTTTTCTTTCTTCTCTTTTTTGGTAGCCTTGGGATTGAACATAGGATCTCGTGCATGCTAGGCAATCACTTAATCACTAAGCTACGTCCCCAACCCCCAAACTAAGATGTTTATTTCATACCACATATATAAACAAAATTTATACAGGAAAGGATTATGTATAAAAAATTAAACTATAAGAAAGAAGAGAAAATAGGTCAAAATTGGGTTAGAGAAAGATTTTATAGGCACAAGAGTTACTGAGCAAAACATAACAGACCATCTAATCTAACTGTAAAATTACATTCTGGAATAATAAAAGTTCAATAAAAACAAGAAAACAAATAATAGTCTGAAAACCATACCTGTAGCAATTGTAACAAAAGATCAGTATTTTTTCTCATATAAAAAGAGACCTCAAAATGAGAACCAAGACTTGTCATGTAGAGGTACAAGATCCCAACAATGAATGTAACTGTACTGTAACCCTAAAATGTACCAATAAACTCAATTAAAGCTGAAAAAAAAGAGACCTCATTATCAATAAGAAAATGAACCAAGCCACTTCTCAAATATAAAATAAATATAAAGGTTTTATACAGGCAACTTTGGAGCAGCAAACATGGAATTAAAATGTTTTCTCACTAGTAAATACAACATTTAAAAATGACATTTAGTTTTTACTTATGAAATTATTAAAGTTGAAAGTGTAATCTTTGTTAGACGTGGTGGTGCATGTCTGTAAGCCCAGCACTTTGGGAGGCTGAAGCAGGACAGTCATAAATTTAAGGCCAGCCTGGATTACACTGAGTTCAAGACCAGCCTGAACTACATAGTGAGACCTTGTTTCAAGAAAAAAAATGAAAGAAAGAAAAGAAAGAAAGGAAAGAAAGAAAGAAAGGAAAGAAAGAAAGAAAAGAAAGAAAGAAAGAAAGTGTAATAATCAGTGTTGACAAGAATACAGTGTAAGGTATCCTCATGTCCTATCAATAGATGAAAAATTTGACCCAATCATTCTAAAAAGAAGTTTAACAAGATACAGTGAGTATATTCATGACTTTTGACCTAGCAATTCCAATTTTTAGAAATCTGGTATAAAAATACATAATCAGATATGATTAATCAGTTCCTCATACTGGGTGGCAGACGCCCATACCATTCTTTTCTAATGAAAATATGTACTTTAGCATAATGACCTTGAGTCTCAGTAGCTGCCCTGGGGGAAAAAAGGAAGCAATCTTTGTGTTCCCCACTTGGTAAAACAAAGGACAGGTTGTATACAGGTGTGTCAACATGTAAATGGGTGACTTTGTCCACGTTATGTTATATTTTTGTGTATTTACAATTCTTTTCATTAAATTTTTCTTTTGATTTTTCTTACAGAATTAGTCCAATTCAGTACAATGTTGCATGAAAATCTGCTTTTACAACTTTGGGAGGAGATTGAAAGTGAGTTAGGTGACTCCTATTGATGACTTGAATTATGTAAACCAAAAGAAGCCAAAGAAGGCAGCAATATACAACATATGATAGACAGATATAACAGAGAAGTACAGAATAAAGACCTTGATTCAGGTAAGGAAAAAAACAGTAATGTAAATAAATATTTGATTAGTCAAAATGCTACAAAATGGTCATATATACCTGAACAATCCAATGTTAGAACTAAATAAGAAACTGTTACTCAGTTCTTGCCAAGGGTAAAACCTGTTGGACAGAATGCCAACACTGAGATTCAATGTTAGAAATTGTTTGTAACAAACAATATGCTCTCTTTTGAAATACACTAATAATGAGCTGGGCATGCTGGTGTGCACCTATAATCCAGCACTCAAGAGGCTGAGGCAGGAGGATCTCTGTGAGTTCCAGACCAGCCTGGATTACATAGTGAGTTCCAGATCAGTCTCAACTACATAGTGACACCCTGTCTCAAAAACAAACAAACAAACAAACAAAAAAGCTAATAATGAAATACAAGAAAATATTCCACATACATCAATAGTAATATGCAAAAATATATATATCATGACACCTCACTATCTGAACTAAAAGCCTTCATAGCAGTACTTTATCATTCTAAATGTCAGATTTCTGACAGATGTGGTATTGAGATTTTTAGAATAATGACACTCAAGAGATTTGGTTTCCTTCCAAATGCCTACATTTAATGACAAAAGGACCCACCAAGAAAAAAAAATCTGACAATTTGGCTGCTATTTGCTCATTTGTTGAAGGCTTTGTTTCATACTGTCCAGTAATTTATACATCATCCAAATATATGACAATGGACAAACAACTTGCATCATTTTGTGACTGTTGAAGCTGTTGGCACCATAGTTAAGTAAACCTTCCAAATATGGTATAAAAATATATGCCCTGGTAGACGTGAAGACATTTTTCACCTTGAATTTAGAAATTTATCAGCCACCAGGTCTTCTTCATACAGTAATAAAAGTGTATGCCTTTGTAAACAGACGTCGTACCTATTTCACAAAGTAACCCGAATCTCACATTCGACAATTGGTTCACTAGTTAACTATTGATATGATATTTGCTAAAAGAACACCCCAACCAGCACATGAGCTATTCACAAGAACAAAACTGAAATAAGTGAAAAAAGGCTGCGAATGCACAATAGAGAAATGTACAGTACAGTCGAAGAAAGTCCTAACATCGGCCTCCTATTTGGGAAAGAAAAACAAAGCAGTAATAATACTGTCAACATTACACTGTGGTGCTAAGATTAATAGTGAAGCTGGGAGTGGTGGTGCAAGCCTGCACTCCAGGAGGGTCAAGGTCAGCCTATGCCACAAACAAAAGATTGATAGTGAACCCTCAACAGCAATAAGCCAGAAAATGGTCGCATTTTACAACAAAATGAAAGGCTGAGAAGATGTTGTTGATCAGTTATGCAGCAACTAGGACATCACTTGAGACACAAAGCATTGGCGAACGGCTGTATTTTACTTGATCCTAAACCTGTCAGGCATAAATAGTTTAATTGTTTGCAAAGAAAATAATAAGCACAAAATACCACAGGAAATATTCTTAGAGATTGGGGCTGGATTTGAGAAATGATCAATCACAACAGAGGAAGAACAGTATGTATCTTCCCAAAGAACTCCTCAGAAGAATTCTGGAGCAGACCGGTGGACAGACAGGTGAAACATCACAAGAGCCTCCTGAGAAAACAGGGGGATCAGCAAGATGTCAAGTGTGTCCTACCAAAGAAGGCAGGAAAACAGAAAATAAACATGCGTGTTACCCAATACTTGTGTACGGAAGGTGCTGTTCTCACAGGTGAACACTGCCTTAGGTGTAATAAAGATTATTTCTATGGTAGAGTTTTATCTGTATTTTCATCATAGTTCACATAAGAAATCATTTCTGCTGCTATTTTTTAGATCCGGTAAGCAAACAGTTGATGTAAAAAATGTTGATATTCATTCTATACGTTCATTACATATTACATTTTAATGTTTTATTTTATTGATATTTTATTTTCCTGTTAAGCACACATTAATTTAATATATAAAAATCATAAAATTAAAAATAATTCAATAAAAATACTTGTAAAAAATAAACGTGGGTGTTACACACCCTGGTTACCCTCCTATCATGCCTCTGGGGCTACACAGTGATACACAAAATTGATCTGCCAGGTGGGGCGAAGCAGGCCTGTAATTCCAGCATTCAGGGAGGCCGAGGCAGGAAGAATCAAAGTCCCAGCCCATGCTGGGCAGTTTAGTAATTTATTTTGAGACCTGTCTCAAAATAAAAACAGGGTTAGGGTTGGAAATGCAGCTCAGTACAAAGGCCGTGGGTTCATTCCCCCAATACAAACAAGCAAACAAACATTAAAAAAAAAAAACCCTCAACAGTTTCCTAACAGTGAAAAAGGAAGAGGAAAAGAACCCAAAATTTTGAATGTTTAACTGCTGGGATATTCAATGAATTTAGGTCCTTCGTGGTCAGGAAACAAGTGAATAAACAGGTTTCCTTCGGGTGCCCTTAATTAGCTTTCCTTCTCTCAGTATTTGCATAAGTGAAGGTGGTGGCACTGGTGGTATTTTCACAGAACAACTGTTGTAGAAAATCTCAGGCCAGGCCACGTGGCACCCTAGAAAAACTTGTTAAGGGGAACTTCTGGCAAGAGGGAATACCCAACCTCCAGGAGTCCTCTTCCCCCACAGTGAACAAACAGAAAGGCCGAAAATGATAGCACCTCCCCACTTTTTTTCCAATGTAGAGCTAAGGCTGAAAAAAGAAAAGAAAAGAAAAGAAAAAAAAACTCAGTGGTGAAATAAGTTAAAGTTGACTTTAGAGCAGTCCAGGGGCAAAGAATCAGATAGAGGAAGGATGTAGGGTTGGATGTGGGGTTCATAAATTAAGGCCAGTGAGAGCACTAAGCTAAAAATGAGATCCCTAGAGAAACAAAGAACCCCATGTTTTGTCTGGTTCATGAAGAGAAAACTGAGACAATTCACACAATGACGCAGAAAATTGTAAAGTGCTAAGGAGCCCCCTGAATGTTTATAAAACCATGCACATACATTTAAACC